TGACTACTTATTCACACAGACAAGGGAAGAGGGTCAGACAAAATACACTGGGACATCAATTGGCCTAACGCAGCAAACTAAATGTTGGCATAGTAGGCTGTTGGCAAAACTAAAGAATGGCATAGTTTCTTAATGCAGTCTGACTTCAGCAGAAATTTCATTTTTGTACATGTCATATTGCAATCTGTAATTAGATGCTCTTTGCCCAAGCCACCAGCTCCCTGAGTAGTCTGCCTGTCAATCTGCCAGCAACTCTTGAGTCAACGAGGTTTTTCAGCACATGGGATGTGCCCCAGACCTCAGTACGAGGGCTTGCACACCCTATGGTGCCTGTAAGCATCAGCTGGATGGGAGCCACAACAGGAGCAGAGCCATCCCTGGTTAAATAATGCTGTAAAACGCAGCACTCACTGCTATTACTGGAACGCCACTCCTTATTTCTAATAGTCAATTCCGGCTCAAAAATGTTTTCTCCTTAAGCTGCCTCATCCTTAGAAATAACAAAAATGTGATATGTAGGAGTGGAAAAGGAGCAGGGTTGTGAGTGGAGACAGCAGAGGCTGATTTCCAGACTTCCTGAGACTTCAGAGTAGGCGCTGACTGATAGAAATACTCAGAGATCCACAGAACTCAATAGATCTGTGATTCACACCAGCTGTGGATTGACTCTTTAGTTTCCAAAGAGTATCTCTGGCATATCTGGAGAAATGTTTTTCACCACTATCTAAAACAAAACAGTCACTATGGTTCAGATGTAAACTGCATGCAGAGCCACATCTTCAAGTAATGAGGTGCAATTTTGGCAGAAGAGTATGTAAAAATAATCATTATGTAGCAGAAAGAAATGGAGCCTGATCGTTTTGGCAGAACATACACTGAGTCTTAGCCAACCTTGTGACAGCACATCACCCTGTAAAACTACCTTATGGAGCCATAATAATCAGCAAAGTTCTCAGCAGAGCCATCGATAGCAAACAATTCTGGCTGCACTGAGATCTAAGCAAGTGTAACAATCACAATAACTTTTCAAGTTAATGCAGTCACCTGACAATGCAACCACAAGTTTTAGCACCAGTAAAAGTGTAAGAGAAACTCCGTGCTTTACATATCTCCTACAGAACACTTACACTTCAACAGTGTAAATGAAATAACCATAGGAGGAATTTCTTCCCAGTGTGAATTTCACAATACAAAATAAATTTGGCTGAAAAATGAATGCATTTCCATTAATGTTTGTGAAAAAATCAAGCACTAACATGAAGGCCCTGCATGTAGGGTAAGTTTTCTCTGTGGATTGCTCCATGCAGCTGTATAGCTTGTTTTACATCCTGAAAGACTCTGGTTTATTCTGCCTCCCATCAGCCTTGAACCTAAGTCTTCTGTTTGAAATCAACTACTAACGGGTCCATTAAGGAAAGCTGCTTTCACCTGTAACTAATGTTGAAAGAACAATAATAGCTACAAGTTCAAGGAAGTCATTTCCCAGAATATCATTTGCAACATGCTCACTGCAAAATATGGTTAATTCAAATGCATCTTTAAAGATTGTAAATATATATTTACATTTTAAGTTTTCATTAATGAATAAAATAAATTTTATATTTTTATAGAGTGTTGCTGATATTAACAAATAAACAAACAAAAAAACTAAGAAGTTCAAGTAAAGTAATTTACTTTTGAAAATATTTCTGCTCCCAAAAAAGCCTCAAAGTAATTTGTGGCAAAGGCACTTTCATGTCAGTGAAAACAGGCAAACATGGCTCCTTACCTCTGTTTGAATTGCTCCCTAATGCACTATGAATCAGTTCCACTCAACAGTCTAGAAAATCTCTACTTAACAATCTAAGTGAGCAGGAAACAGCAAAATAGATTGGTATACATAAAGCAACCAGGCTACCTGTTTGTTCACATGAAAATATGCAAAAGCTCTCCGAGGGCAAGGAGAGGGAGTCGAGGAGTGGGGCCCACAGTCTGTCCTAGAACCTGAAAGTAAAGCAAACCAACAAATAAAAGCTTTTGACATTATGTCATTATATGGCATTTAAGTCTGGTTGACAGAATGCTGAAATATAATAATGTTACTAAAACATGGATGCACATTCTATATTGCCTTTATTATAACATGATCTCAACATTTTCAATGGTAACAAATTTTTTAAAAGTTACAGTTCAGATTTGAGATAATAATTGCAGGCTCCTTCCTTTCCACAATTGTTCATGAGAGTCTAATAAGGATGTGTTTATTTATAATGCCTTATATCGTAATAGATAATATCAATATTGAAATGGAGTTGTGATTTAATATTTACCTTGTGTGTTACAAAGAGGTGCAGCTATGTGGGATTAGGTGGTGATTTTATGAAATACAGAGTTCATGTGTAAACGGTCAATTTTCTGTGACGCATTTTCCAGCACATAACCAAGACCCAGACCCAGGACTCACAAATAGGTTGACGAGGTGTACACATTTTGCCTTCTCTCTGTCCTAGTGAAGTAGAACTAACCTGTAGAAGTGATGCAGCAGTGGGGACTGGGTGTGCAGTCACAGAGGTGGAAATGTAGCTCGAGTTTCTCTGATGTCCGAGGGAATTGCCTTCCCATAAGAACATGAAAAATGCATGCTCAAACTCATTTTAGGAAAAGAAAGGAAATGAATCTTTGTATCCCAACTTTTGAAGTTCCTCATCTTTAAGCCTCTTTTCAAAGAAGTTCTGGCTCTCGTTTATGTAGTCCTGCCTTATGCAGCCAAACATTAGCCTGCAATCATTAGTCAAGGAGAAAGGAGAGGAAGATGCCTGTTTGTACCAACACTATTCACTATTGCTATTCATGTTGAAGAAACTGGCCATCATTAATTAGGTGCTAGTTGATCATGACCCTCCTCCCCCAAGAGAAACAGAGTGAGACCATACCTCCCAAAGGGTTACATTGTGCCCTTGTTGAAATGGCTCTGGGCTTAGCCAGAGGGGTTAAGGGACTCACTCCAGCTTACTGCCCTGAGCCCATCCCTGCAGAATGGCTGAGAGCTGGAGGCAGAGGCCACTGGTGTTAAGCAGATGTCTTGCTGTAGATATCAAGACAGAGGAAGAGCTGGAACCCTCACTGAGTCTTTCTTTTTCTTTGCCAAGGAGTGAGGCAGGGCCATGTAATACTAATTGCCAAGCCTGTGATATCTCCATAGATCCTGACCAGGCCATGACAACTATAATTCAGTAGTTAAATGTATTAAACATCCCAGTCACATGCTTTGTGCCACAACAGAAAAGGCAGAGATTTCCAGAAGACCTTCTCACCACTATGCAGTGGAAATGCTCTTTCTATTGTCTCCTCTCTCCTGGGAACATTGTCCAGCTTCCTAGCTCCCCCCTCTCAGCAGACCTAAGGGAGCTCCCTGTGCTGCCAAGCAACAGCAGACTTCATGTGTGCCAGAGTGGAAGCTTCCCTGCAGCCTCAACTCAGGCAAGCCTCTTCTCCTCACACCAACAGTGTTGCGACAATGGTGTAGGCCTTGGGGGAGAACACACCACCGCAGGGAAGGCTGTCTTCACACTAGGCAGGCCTCACTTCCTCTCTTTCTCTTTGATGCCAAGACAAATGGCTGTGGGCCAGAAAAGGGGAAGGTAGAAAGGCTGTAAATAAAATGAGCCCAGAACTGGAAAAGACAGAAATTGCAGCTAGAGAAAAGGGAGGCAGAATCTGAATGGCGTGAGTAATTTCTGCATCTTCCGATTCTGGGCTTATACTGTAGTAGAATGACTTCCTCCCCTTTGGGACCTTGCAATTCTGCTGAGAAAGGGGAAGATCGTATTGATTTACTGCTGGGAAACAGGAGCGTTTTCGCTGAGCAGCCGGGTCAGCCCAGAGGTGGAGCCGGGCGGGTTCAGCACCCTGGACAGCGTCCTGCCGCGGTGGCTCCTGCCTTAGCGCTCCGGCCGCGCTCACTGTGTCGCTCGGTTTCCTTCTGTCACGCGGGTCACAGAGTCATAGAATATCCTGAGCTGGAAGGAACCCCACGGCTGTTTATTTTATCACGTCTTTTCTCTCTCTTTCTCTCTCTCTCTCACCTTCCCGCTCCCACACCGCCACCCTGCAGCCCCCGCGGACAGCCGGGCTCCTTTCCCCGCTCTCAGCGCTGCTCTCCCGTCCCTTCCTCCGCCCGCAGCTCCCCTCCCACCGGCCCCGCCCGCGCTTCGTCTGCGCGCCCCGTCGAGACGCCCCGGTGCTCCGCCTCGGCCCCCTGGTTCGGGCGGCTCTGCCGGCCCCCGGAGGCACGGCTCCCCGCTGCCCGCTCGCCGCCCTCCTGCGTAGACGCTGGGCTCTGCCTCCCCCGGCAGCCCCCCTCCTCGCTCCACCGCCGCCACAGCCTCGCCGCCGCCCCTCCCCGGAGCGCCGGAGATGCCCGGCGTGCCACGGAGCCGCGCCGCCGCAGCCCCGCGCTGCCCTCCAGCCTCTCGGCGCCGTGAGTACCGCTCGGGGCCGCCTCCGCCCCAACCTCCTCCTCCTCCTCCCCCTCCGCCGCTGGAAAGCCGCCGTCCTCCCACGTCCCCCATCCGGCTCCGGACTCCGCAGCACCGCGGGCGGGGAAGGAGCGGCCCCTACAGAGCGGCCCCGGGGTAGCCCGCCCGCACAGCGTGCGGGGTGAGGGGGCGGCTCCTGCCCGGCTGCCCCCGGTAGCGCCGTGTCCCGGAGGTGCCGCGCCGTAAGCGACGGGCGGAGGGGGCGGGCGGGAGGACGCATCCCTGCAGGTACTTAACGTGCGGGCGTGCTCCGTTCCCGCTTTGTACAAACGCGGCTCTCATTTAGGGAACCTCTGAAAACCTAAGCAGCCGTGCGAGCCCGGTGGCTGCATCACCTCCCCCTCCGGCCCTTCCCACCTACCTCCCCCGAGCGCACGCACACGCGCAACCGCTCCCTCCGGCACTTCTCCCCGCCGGGCGCCCACTGCCCGCCTCGCTCCGCTCCCCCGTCCTCGCAGAGCGGCTCCGGCCGGCGAGGGGCGCATGCGCAGGGCCGCGGAGCCGCCGTCCCCGGGCGGGGAGAGCGCATCTGCCGGGCCGGCAGCGGGAGTGGGAGCGGGCACGGCAGCCCCACGGGTCCCCGCCGCCGCCGACACCGTAAGTAGCGCTCGGTCCCACGGCGGGACGGGACGGGACGGGACAGGGCGGGGGCTGCCTTGCCCCGGAGCCTGCAGTCCTCACGCCGGCATCGCGGGGCTCCCCTCCTAACGCGTGGTAACATCACTCCCCGCCGCTCCTCTGCGGGTCCCGACCTCCGCCGTCATTGGCACTGCCGTGGGAGGATGCTGCAGGTGGTGAGAGTGAGGCACGGCCGCAAATACTGAATGAGATTATTTCGGCACACGCCGATGGGAATTGCAGTCATTTACTAGCGACGCAATGTGCTTGGCGCGACCGCTCAGTCATTTCATTTTGGCTGTTGAAAAATTCGCAATCCGAACGTTCCGCGCGGTGCCGCGGTGCCCCGTGCAGGTTCCGAACCTGCGGCCGCTCCGTGCGGGGCAGCGGGGCCACAGCGCCGCCCTCAGCTCGGAACAACGAAGGGTGTTTCCGAGCCAATCGCGTGCTGTAGCGGGACGTGCGGGGTGCTGCAGGACGAGAGCATCCCACCTACCCTCCCACCCATCCTTGCCCTCGCTCTGGGTCTCGCATCTCGGGAGCACCACCGCTTAGGTGCTCCCCGTGCCCCGGGCGGAGCACCGCGCCCGTTCCCGGCTGTTCGGGTCTTCCCCGGGGCCTGAGGTCCCTCCCCGTGTCTCCGCTTCCAAAAGTCCTTCCCTCTGAACGACCGCCACCTGTTGTCCCGAGCGGGCGGCGGGAAGCACCGCGAGGATCCTTCGCGCGGGGGAGCAGCGCGGTGCCCTCATCTTTCAGAGAGCGTTCTGCCCACGGAGCCGCCGCGTGATGCAAAGGAGTCCCCACAGCGTCCGGGCTGTAGCGGCGGTGCGGGATACCGAGTCCGGTACTCAGAGCGGAGCGTCGTAGCGCGACCCGAAGCGAATCGCGACGGCGGGCAGCGATAGGAGCGCAGCGTCAGTCTCTGCCCCCCGGTGATTCACCCCGCGCAGCCCTCGGCGCACCGCACCGCAACCCGTTCCGGCGGGAGCCGCGTGAGTCACACCCGCGCCCGGCACCGCGCGGGATGAGTCAGCGGCCGCTCCGGCTGCGCGGCCCCGGCGCAGCGCCGTGAGTCACCGCGGGACGGCAGCGCCGCCCGGGAGGAGCGCTTCCCCGTATCGCCGAGCGGCCCGCGGCGGGAGGTGGCGGCGGGGAGAGGAGTGTGCGCTGTTTGCGTGGGGGAGGAGGTTTGTAAAGCACGGAGCTGAATGAACTCGGTGTGCGTGTGCGTGCCGTAATATCAGCACAAGCAGTACTTGAAGCAGTACTCGCTCCGGCGATAAAGCTGGAGGTGTGGCGGTTGGGGCCCGGTGTTGGCTGAGCTGGAGCTCACGGTGATCCGGTTTGTGAAAGGGCTCAGTGTTGGGCAAACTTCACCCATACTCACTTTTATACCGCTCGTCTGCCATGGCACCCATACATGTAGCTGGGTGCTTTTGTTGCTTTTGCTGTGTAGAAGGTGTAAAATTGTCTCATCTTTCCAAATTTACAGGAGAAATAGTGACAGTGACTCTGCTAAGTGCATTTTAGGGCAACTTTTTCAGTCGAGCCTTTCAGGATGGAGTCCAAATCAGAGGTATCATAGAATCACAGAATGGTTTGGGTTGGAAGGGACCTCAGAGATCATCCAATCCCAACCCCCTGCCTGTGGACTGGGATGCCCCCCACCAGCTCAGCTGCCCAGGGCCCCATCCAACCTGGACTTTAACACCTCCAGGGATGGGGCACCCATAGCTTCTCTGAGCAGCTGTGCCAGTGAAGGAGGAGCAGAGCACATTTAAGCCCCTGGCAGAAAACCTGTACTGAAGTGACACGATGGAGGCAGTGGCACCTGTTATTACGTGGGTGTGATGCATTTTCAGCTGTTTCTTTTGAAATGTAAAGCAATGCTTTGATCTGGAGAGATGAACCCAGCTCTTCTGAGCTGCTCATCTGAAAAAATAAAGGAAATACACCAGGTAAAGACACTGGGTTTCTGGACCCAAAAGCACCTCATAACTGTTACTTACACTCAGGGAAATGTCCTGCTGTCCACTGTCATCTGCTGAGGCCTTTAGCAGGCCCAAGTGCAGCCATGGCACACAAAGCTGCATTATGTGGTGTGGCTGCCAGCATCCCCTTACTGACAGCCATCCCTCACTCCTACATTCTCAAAAATTGCCATCATCCCACTTCTGTTGCAAGATGCCAAATCTCTGCTAACACAAAATCTCCAAAGAGCTCTTACTAGGTACTCACTCAGCAGGTAACACAATAACTATGCCTAAAGCATGTGCGTGTGGGGGGATGTGTTCATTAACATGCATTTAATTCTTCTATATTTAAAACAGCACACTGCTTAGTGCAGGAAACCTGTGTCACTTTCCTCAATGAAGAGGAAGAAACACGACTATCAAACTTGCTGTTCATATTCCAGTTGACAACACACTGCCATAGCCTACAGTTCTCATGAAGAACTTCAAATATTCAAATATTTCTGAATTAATAAAATAAAGATTTGTGGAATCATAGAATCACCAAGGTTGGAAAAGACATCCAAAATCACCCAGTCCAACCATCCACATACCACCAATATTTCCCCGCTAAACCATGTCCCTCAGTACAACAAATGTCTCTTGGACACCTCCAGGGACGGTGACCCAACCACCTTCCTGGCCATCCCACTCCAGCATCTAACCACTCTTTTGGGAGAAGAAATTTTTCCTATTATCCAATCTGAATCTTCCCTGGCACAACTTGAGGCCATTCCCTCTTGTCCTATTGCTAGTAACATGGGAGAAGAGGCCAACCCCCACTTCATCACTACCTCATTTCAGGTCACTGTAGAGAGCAGTGGGGTCTCCCCTGAGCCTCCTCTCCTCCAGACTGAACAATCCCAGCTCTCTCAGCGGTTCCCCATAAGACCTGTGCTCCAGACCACTCACAGCTTGAAATTTACTGTGATCCCAGCCCCAACAGCAAGCCCTGTGAGGCATAAGTGGGCAACAACAGAATTCTTCTTCCATTTCTGACTATCACTATTGTGGGAAGTCTGAAGAATAAGCAGAAATTGCAATATGGATATAACTTCACTTGGAGCTACTGAAGTTGAGTGCTTCTCATTGGTTTCATGGAATTTAGCACTGCCCAAGGTGTTTACTGACAAAGGACAGCACCACTGTGTTGGCAGCACGTGGCTCCATGCTCCGTGTTCCCCCTGCAAGTCATCAGGCTGTAGCCATGCAGGTGGGCCTTAACACGTCAGGGCTGTGCTGTATATGGGGGTGAGACTATTATTTTTGTGCTTAACAGCATCTGTGTGCTTCAGTAGGCTGAGAAAATCTCGTTGTGCTCTAGCATAAACTGAAGAAGAAGGTGTAAAAGTTTTGTCTGCTGTCTTTTATTTTGTTTTCTGGGTATTCCTGTGACATTTTTTTTTAATATCTGACCTTCTTAGTTTATATTTTAAATATTTCTCCTTTGGGAAGGCTGTTTTCTTGGTAGGTAGATCACCTTTCTGCCGAGAGATAAGCAAATAATATAAATGTTACGTGTCAGTCAAATAGTTCTTGAGGTGCTTTCAACCAGGGAAAGAATTTTAATTCCTGACCTTCACACTCTTTTACGTTCATAAAGTCACACACGGAAATGCTTCCCCATCTGAGAGCTGTGCCAGGGAGTGAGAGGAGTACAACAGCCATATTTTTAGGGTGAGAGGTAACAGCCTGAAGTTTCATCATAGGATTTCAGGTTGGGTATTAGGAAAGAATTCTTTTCAGGATGTGGTGAAGCAGTGGCACAGGCCACACAGGGAGTGGTGGAGTCACTGTCCCTGGAGGTGTTCAAGAGCCATGGAGATGTGGCACTGAGGGATGTGGTTAGTGGACATGGTGGGGTGGGATAATAGTTGGAATAGATAATCTTAGAGATCTTGTCCAGCTTTAACGATTCTATGATCTATTCCAGTACCTCAGCATTTCTCTTACAGCAGACGTTACAGTTTTTCCACTAATGTAAAAAGTCGTTTTTAAAAATGCTTCTTTAAATCCGCTGAGGTTTGGATTTGTTATTCTGTTTTTGTTTGTTTGTTTAAATTACTCATTAGCACTCAGTAACCTTTTTGTTAAGAATCTCAGATGCTATCTAGCTGGATAAGAAGTAAGATAATATGACATATTTTTCTTTATTTTTGGTTCATTGCTTTTTAGGCATATTTTTATAACAGATAAAGTTTGTTGTTGTCATTAAATGGAGGAGAACATCTCTCTCCCTGGGAGATCTGGAAATTTCACATCTAGAGGCCTGTAGGATGTTACATTAGAGGAACATGTAACGCTGAGCCAACCAGAGGCAAGCCAATTATCTTGACAAATACATCCTTTCCCCAGTTAAATACTTGACTGATGTGGGAATGGGACAGTTTTGTGGATGTCTCCAAACAGATCCTTCTGTGCCCAGCCCAGTCTGTATATTTCTCTGCACTGTTTAACATCCTGGATCTGATCTTTCCAGACTCCAAGACTGCAAAAGTGGCCAAAGTCTTGCTAGTAGACAGAGGAAACCTGTTGCTAGTCTCTACTTGAAAGTGGTAAGAAGACACCTCCTGCAAATGCAGAAAGGCTGTTGATGTGGTCTACCTAGACTTCAGCAAAGCGTTTGACACTGCCTCACACAGTATTCTCCTGGAGAAGCTGGCAGCCTGTGGCTTGGACAGGTACACCAAGTACACTCTTTGCTGGGTCGTGAACTGGCTGGATGGCTGGGCCCAGGGTAAGAATGGAGTTAAATCCAGCTGGCAGCCAGTCATTTCTGGTGTTCCACAGGTGTCAGTGTTCAGGCATGACCTTTTCAATATCTTTATTGATGATCTGGATGAGGGCATTGAGTGCATTCTCAATAAGTCTGCAGATGACACCAATTTGCAAGGAAGTGTCAATACAGAAGGACCTACAGGGGGATCTGAACACTCTGGATGGCTGGGCTGAAGCCAATGGGATGAA